ACTATAGCTGGAGTGTGCAGTGCATCAATATGTGGTGGTATTACGTATGTAAATACGGATGTAAATAAAACTGAAACTGAAACGCCAAAGTCTGAACCTTTTGCTGTTTCTCTTTGACAGAGAGTTGTTGTCTCAGTCTCTCCACGAGACTCTGTGTGACTTTTGACGGAGGTTCACTCGCTGTCTCCCTGGCTGCCGACAACTCCCCTGACATCACCTGACATTAACATCATATTATAATCACATATAGGGGAGGGAGGGACCTGTTGATAAAATACCTGTAGCTCTTGTTCCAACTCAACAACTCTGCCTGACTGTCGCTCCAACTCTGCCTTTAGACCTTGGGAAACAGGGTCTTAGTAATAACTCAACCATCATTGCCAATCTTAAATGGAATGTGGCAGTATATATTTACTTCTTTTACTGAAAAAGGAAACTTGCATTTTGCACTGGGCCCTATTGTTTAGTCCTATCGTTAGTTACATTTCTAATTTTAGTTCTTATGCCGTTCAAAGTGTTCTTGATTACTGAATAGTACTCACTTTCATTTTCAATAAAGTGGCTGGATCTGAGCTCGCCCATTTCCTGTCTGACTCGAACCAAACTGGTTTCAGTATTCCCGTCTCTCCAGCTCTCTCTCCCTCCTCACGTCCGCCATCTTCGCCTCGTGCGTCGCACGCTGCTGACCAATCAGATCCTCCAGTTCCCGCAGCCTTCCCAGCTCCTTCTCCGTCGCCCCGATAACCGTCGGCATGGCGACCGTCTCCATGGAGACCTCTCTGAGCCTCCGCACGGTCGAGTCGGACTGTTCCTGCATTTTCCTCACGAGGGACGCCATTTCTGACTCGTGGTTTTTGGTCATAGTTCGTAGTTCCGATCGTGCTTCTTGCAGTAGCTGGCAGTACCGCTCGCTCTGTCTCTCCTTCTGAGATACCAGAGCCTGGAATTGTGGGAGTTATTGTAACGAGTGAGAGCAGCAAATATTTACCAGTGCTGTATACTTTACACATACCTATATACATAGCTTGATAATGTAGTGGTGAATATTTGGTATATTGAAGTGGGGGAGGACAGGCAAACCAACTATTTTGTACACACTGTCAAATGTAAATGTGAAAAATAGGGTGGCCTAAATTTCTCGTACTTTTAGCAAGCAAGTGGAGGGAAGGACAGGCCAACCAACCATCCTGAATACCTTGACTATAGCTGGAGTGTGCAGTGAAAGAATAGGGTGGCCTAAATTGTTTGTACTTTTAGCAAGCAAGTGGAGGGAAGGACAGGCCAACCAACCATCCTGAATACCTTGACTATAGCTGGAGTGTGCAGTGAAAGAATAGGGTGGCCTAAATTTCTCGTACTTTTAGCTAGCAAGTGGGGGGAAAGACAGGCCAACCAACCATCCTGAATACCTTGCCTATAGCTGGAGAGTGCAGTGAAAATAATCCTCACGAGTGACTGTGGAAAATAGGGTGGCCTAAATTTCTCGTACTTTTAGCAAGCAAGTGGGGGGAAAGACAGGCCAACCAACCATCCTGAATACCTTGCCTATAGCTGGAGAGTGCAGTGAAAATAATCCTCACGAGTGACTGTGGAAAATAGGGTGGCCTAAATTTCTCGTACTTTTAGCAAGCAAGTGGGGGGAAGGACAGGCCAACCAACCATCCTGAATACCTTGACTATAGCTGGAGTGTGCAGTCCATTGGACCTTGCAGAGTAGGGGTGGCCTAATTATTTTCCACTTTACAAAATGCTAAGAGTGCACAGAAATCGGTAGCAACTGGAGCGAACCTGAAGCTGTCGAACACTCTCCTCGGCCATCTTCCTCAGTCTCTCTTCCTCGGCCAGCTCTGCGGCGAGCCTCTCCCTCTCTCCCCTCTCCTCCCTCTCCCTCCTCCCTCCCGCCAGCCTCATCTCCGCCACCTCTCGCTCTCTCTCCAGCAAGTGGCGCTGCGACTGAGTCAGCAGTTGTTCGAGCGCGTTCGCCTGTTCTTCCGTTCTCGCAGCCTCTCGACAGAGATCGCTGATAGTCTGCGACCTTCGCTCCAGCTCTGCCAGTGCTCGAGACAGCTGCATCGCTATCGACGACTGCAAAATAACACAAAGATGTCAACACCACAATAATTTTGAAAATGTTGATTCGTAGCTGTGTGTAAAAAATGCCACACACCTCCCTTGTAGATTGTGCTCTACTTGTTTCTTGTTTTAACTCTTTTCTCTCTCTCTCCCATTCCTTTTCTCTTTCCAAATACTCCTTATACAGTAGACCCTAAAAGACAAAATCGAAAGAAGGGTGTCACTTAAAAAAACAGGATTAAAATTTTTAGACCTGTTGATGGATGACAACTGAAAATTTTTGCTGGTATTTCTGGAGTTCGTTCCTCATTTTGTCACAGTCCTGACTCTGCCCCTTTTCCGCCCTCAGGACACACAGCAGGTGCTCGTTAAGACTGGAAATGACGTCACGTGATGTCATCGGAATGCTGTCGGGAAGTGGAATGGGTTGGAACCCAGAAACTGTAGGAATTTCAGATCAAAATATTGCACAAGACAGTCATACATTTTTTTTACCATTTGGGCTCAAGATTTTCACTTCATTCTCTAATTTCTCAACCTGCAAATGGCAAATATTTTATCAGTCATTATGTCAGCAAGTTTTCGTCCAATTAATAACAAAAACACATACGTAGTTAATATATTGGATCATCATTCGAACATTTTTCACCATTATTCTAAGGTTTTGGGTACAACTGACCTCGGCACATTTCATCTTCAGTTCAGCACGAGTCCTCCTCAGTTCTTTGTCCGTCCTTCCCCCCTCTCCCTCCCTCCCCCTCTCTCCTCCTGATCTCCCTCCCTCTCCCTTCCTCCCCCTCTCCACTCCCGATCTCCCAGGAGTCTCGCCAGACGGGTGGTCAGCTAGCTGTGCGATGAGTCTGTCTCTCTCTCGCCTCATTTGAACATTGTCCCTTTGCAACTGGGCCACCTAGCGGGCAAACATCATCGCGATATAGCACGCTGGGTCTGAAATTTTTTTCCAGAAATTGCAAGCTAACTATGCGTGTAGATATAATAATACGTGTATAGCTTGCAACACCAAACTGTGCTTCCATAATCCACTGACGTTTTAGTATATATGGGGCAGAACCAAGTGTCCTTTATAGATTGTGTATATAATACCTGTGTTCTAAGTTGCTCCGCAGTAAGTCTAAGATCGCCTCCCTGGGCATCGTCTGTTTCCTCCCTCCCTCTCTCCTTCCTTGCCGGGTCAGAGGTCGTGTGTCTGTGAGACAATAGCTGTTTACGAAGAACCATTTTGTCTCCCTCCAATCTTTCCACCTGTACAGAGAGGACCGCGGCAAGGCAGAGACAGTACAGTGGAACCTCGTTAATATGAACTCCAGGGGACCATCATTAATGTTCATATTAAAAGGAATTTCACTATTACAGTAGCTAGTTGTATTAGTGTTATAATGCCTGGGGATTTCAAAGTGGTTCGTATTAAGCAGGTATTTCATTTTAACAGTGGACGTATATTAACGAGGTTCCACTGTAAACAAAAACATGACCAAAACCAGTGACATCATACATACATACATGTGTCGACAACGAGGCAAGGGCAGAGCGAACAAGTCCTACAAACCTGGCTCTGAAGTGACTGATTTTCTCTCTTCAGCCTCTCATTCTCTCCCTCTCTCCTCACCCTCCATTCACCGAACCCCTCCTCCCCCTCACCCAGCCTCTCACACAGCATCTCGTTCAACTCGCTCAACCGGTTCACCTGCTCGTCCAGCTGGTTTACCTACACACAGCGACGGAACACTCGCCTACCTCGCTGGACCAGTACACCAGCTCGTAAAACCAGTTTAACCTGTTGGGTCAGTACAACGATGTCCCGGTCTCTCACTGCTATTTCTTCTTTCCTCGTCTTTATTTCTTGAATCGCCTCATGTAAACCATATTCTCCCTACATAGTAATAAAATTTTTTGCAATTTTCAGGTTTGCACGAAATATTTTTCTGTGAGAAAAAAATGTTTGTGGAGCTACGAAGGTTTTATTTCTTATACTCACTCTCTCAAATTCTCCTAATCTCCTGAGGGCCTGAGCCAGCTCCGTCTCTCTCTCCGCGACGCTGGCCTCGCACTCTCTCCTCCTCTCCACTTCCTGCTCCAGAGTTTGTCTCAGCCTCTCGCTCTCCCTCTTAGCCGACTGCAACGACTGTGGGGGAATACATTACATCATATGTTTTCTACAGTTTGTATTGTCTGATCTAACCCCTAGCCGTGTTCTCTTATGGCATACTGTGTACTAAAACTACCACTCCTTCAGAATTGTTAAAAAGATGAGTCAAGAAAGAGATGAAGCGTAGTCATGTTCGAATCCCACCTAGGGCAGCTCTTTATTTTTCCTTGGAAAAAAAGAGCTGTCCTGGGTGTACGTAGTTGATTTGTTTGTTGTGCCTTTGCCTTTCTATGTATAATACCTCATAGTTTTCACATGCGCAAGGCTAGCAGTGCCGCATGTGCACAAATCAACGAGGCCACAGAGCAATGGTGAAGGAAACAAGTCAACAACTCCACCCAGAACTTTCTATAACACAAGGCAAACCTCAACTAACTGTGCTACGGCACAGTAAACTCTCACCTTTTGCAGGGCTGAGTTGGTGGCGACTGGGTTAGCCCGCAGCCTTTCTTCTTCCAGTTGGGCCGACAGTTCCTCGAGAGCCGTGGCACCGCGCGTCATTTCCTCTTGTAGCTCTGCAACTTCCTGGTCCCTGTCTTGCAGTTGCTGGGGGAGAGAGAGGAGAAAACACCTGGTCACACATGTCTAGAGCAAAACCCAAACATATCAACAACTCGTGGTACTGAATATCTATACATACCTTTTTAAATCTAATGACTGTAGCTCTACTGCTGTCTTTTGCTGCTTCGGCCAACAGGGACTGTAACTTGTGCACCAGGTCGCGACATTCAGCAAGTTCCACATCCTTTTCTCCAACTGCCGACTAGTGAGAGGGGCAGATTAAGAAAAGAAGTTATAAGCACATTCTATGTACAATACCTCCTATTGTGACTTGCTCCTAATGTGACTTGTTACATAAGTACGTACGTACCTTCCATTGCTTGGTCTTCTCGGCAAGAACAGCTTGTGTTTCTTGTTCCAATCGAGCTTTTCCTCCAAACACTCTCTCATGTCAGACAACTAGAGAAAATATGCCCAAGCCTCCCTAAAACAGCGATTAAAGATTTCTCTTGTACATGTATGTGTGTATGTATGTGTGTGTGTACATGTGTCAACAACAAGGCGAGGTAGAAAGGCAAAGGCACAACAAACAGGTCAACTACACCCAGGATAACTCCTTTCCAAGGAAAAAAAAGGAGAGCTGCCCTGGGTGGGATTCGAACCCACGACACTGCTGAACATTCAGAACTGTTCCAGCAGTGCCCATGTTCACAAACTTGCCTGGCCCTCCAGTAGTTGATTGGTGGTCTCAGTCTCTCTACATCTGGTGTCAGCCTCAACCAGCGCCTCCCTCACCTCCCCCACCTCTCGCAGACAGACTATCTTCTCCTCCTCAGCTCTCCCCAGTTCCACAGCTAGACCCTCTCTCTCCCTCTCCAGCTCATCTCGCACATTCAACAGCTCCTGCCATGCCACACAAAATTTTCACAAACACAACATTGGGCTCTGCAAATTTCATGGCGCGAAAATTTGAGTTTCTTCACAGAAGTAAAAAAATTATGCACTTGTGTCAAATCTGCCAACCTCAATCTTGTCCAGTTGCTCGGCGATCTCGAGGTCTTTCTGTCTCAGTCTCTCTCTATACTCCCTCTCTCCGGCCCTCAGCAGACTAGCCCCGCCCACTGCCACGCCCCCCACTCCCTCTCCAGCACTCTGCATGTGCTTCCTGTGACAATTCACATAAACTATAGGTTTTTAAAATGTGGTTAGCAACCTCCTTAATTGTACATTACACCTTTTGTAGTGCAGAGATTTTTAAAAGAATATACGCACAATCATAAAGAGAAGGTATTAGTGGGAAAATGTAATATGTAAGCAGTTTTTTGTCGTATAGAGAGGTTTTTTCAATTTAACAAACGATATAATCCCTGACCTGTACTCCTCCAGGTCATTTCGTAGCTGGTCCCCCTCTCTCTCCAGCTGCCGCGCCCTCAGTCGGTCCGACGCCGCCTCCCCAGACAGCCGGTCCGACTCCGCCCTCTCGTGGTCCAGCCGTCTCTTCACCTCACCCAACTCGTGCTGGTGAAATTGGGATTACATCACTGCTTCTAATTATAGAACACTGCCAGTCATCTCTTCACCTCACACCCAGCGCAGTGCTGGGGTAATTAGGATTACATCACTTCCTGCTTCTAATTATAGAGCACTGCACCATATTTAGCTACTAATGGAGTTTTAAAATGTTGGCGTTTCAAAGTGTGTATAATATAAAAGAAACATTTTCAAAACCTCGGAATCTATCAAGTACGTAAAATGGAACCTTACACGCATTGCATGGAGCTAAAAACCCAAAATTTTGGTGTTTCAATAAAAGGTTGAACCCCACAACGTTCTACAAGTATTAGACTCACTCTCAAATCTTCGTTCTCCTGCCGCAGAACTCTCAACTCGTTCACGGCACCGGGCGTAGGGGAGCTGCCCCTATCTCTCAGCGTCTCCAGAATCCCGTCTCTCTCCCGTAACTCCCTCTCCAACTGGACTATCTGGTTCATCAGGGCTCGTTCGTCGGGGGCTTCCCCCTCCACCACCTGTTGTTGCCTAGCAATGAGCTCCTCCATAGCAACCCTGGCCTCCTCCCCCTTCACCTAGTGGTACATAGCAACCGGTAAACAAAAGTTATTGTCGAAAGATGTTCAGCTGCATATTTACCTTCATGACTTGCTGAACGGCTGACAGGATGCGGAGGAGCTGGGTGGGCTGGGTGGCGGCTGCCTGCGCGGAGTCCAGCTCGTTACGCTCCAAGAACTCGTACGCCGAGTTGAGCTGCGACTCGTTGCGCTCTAATTGGAGCAGGTCCACGGATGCGAGCTGTTCCCAGTCCATTTCGACTCCGCGCTGCTTTCTCGCTGCACGGCTACTTGTAGAAGGAAAAACCCAGCTTGCATAATATAGCAGCAAGCTTTTCAGCACTTGGAGATTCCCGCTTGCATGACGAACTTTGACCCTACAGCGACGGCGGACCTAAGCGCATGCCGTTGTAGGTAAACTAAAGCGCATGCGCTAAAATTTCACCACTAATAATCACGTGACCATGAAGAGATGTGACTGGTTATAAAACTACTGAGTTTGTTGGTCCAATTCACCTTCCCACGGCTCAACTTTCTGCATACGGAGAGACAAATGAGAGAATGATAACGAAACTGAAAAGCTGTGACTTACGTTTGATTCCAAATAGAGCACCTTCAAAAGATACATGACGTAATCTCTGTTTTGTTCTCTTGTTGGACATCTGAGGACAAGAAACAGCAGAGGTTGGAATTAGATAGTGCAAAAGTCATCCCTTCAGTCTTTGATCTTTTCTCCCTATCTCGCTCCATTTCCTTTATTTTTGCACTCCCACATGTTCGTCTTTCGGTTTATGTCGTCTTCAACTTTCGTCTTTCTCACTCCCACCTTTCATCCTTCCCCCTATCTCACCCCCTATCTCATCCCTCCCTCTCTTCTTCACCTCTTCCCAACCAATCTGACGGTGTCAGAGGTATCATCATAACAAGACCCGGCCAGTTCTATCATCTTTCTTCTTGCTCTCTCTGATAGGGTTAGGGCTCCTAGCTTTACCTGGAGAGAGAGAGAGAGAGAGAGAGAGCAGGATAATGACAACATTAGCACTGAAAAATCCAAACTTGTAACATTTATAGCAAGAGCATAGCTTAGGACTCGTGGGCTGCAAAGCTAAAGAGTGCAGTGTTAGTGTAAATTCGGGCCTACAATTTTTGTACTTTTAGCAAACGAACAGGAAAAAGGACAGGCCAATCAACCATCCAGAACACCTCGGCTATAGCTGGAGAGTGCAGTGTAAATTTAGGGCGGCCTAAACTTTTCGTAATTTTAGCAAACAAACGGTGAACCAACCATCCTGAATACATATATATATACCTTGACTATAACTTGACAATGCAGTAAGTGGGTGTGTAGTGCAAAACTAAAGGGTTTGTTTAGTAGTTTCCATACGGTGAGGACGACTTTTCTCGATCCCTCGTGTCTCACAGACCGGCCGGGAAAGACGTAGTTCCTAGTCTCGATCTTGACTGGCAGACTCCGCAGTCTTCTTGGCCACGGCGTGCACAGAGCTGGCAAAAGATGTATTTCAGAACGGGCGTATTTACAGCAACTCGCTCTCATCAAGATTGAGAAAAGAAAGACTCGGTAAATGTACAAAGATGTAAAGGTTCTCTCCCTCTCTCTCTCTCTCTCTCTAAAGGTTTGTGATTTTGAAACTCTGATGAAAACCTACGTTTCAGTCCTTCGCAGTGTTTTTGAATGGCCGGTGGTGTCAGATGAAAGAAATTTGGAATCTACAGAAAAAAGAATATTGATAGCTGGACCCCTCTAATATCACACACACACACACACAACCTTGATGAGTTCGAGGTTCCCGAGGGCTTGAGGCGGTATGGAGCCAGCCTCAGCTCGCCCCATCCTCACTGGCAGAGGCACGTGATAGGGGCTGAACGGCTGAGCCGCGTGAAACACACTCGACCAATCAGCTTCAGCGTTCACCTCCTGAGGCTGAACAAGAAGACGCGTTCTTATAACCTTTTCGTATCTTGAGAATTCTTCTTGAAAAAGCCTTTTGGTTACCTTGACTGGTGTCCAGGCGGGGGGTCGACGAAGAGCCTTTTTCCGTCTCCTACCGAATCGACCTACGAGGTGCGCTGCAATTAGAGCACTAGGGTTGATTTGCGTGCGACACCTGTCTGCTTTCCCTGGAGGAGAGGCGCGCTACTAGAGAGAGGAGCACAGCAGGAGTGCTCGAGGGGAGCAGTTGTCACCAGAGACACCGAGTAGAGAGCTCGACAGCAAAGGAGAACTGCCATCCCTTCATCAAGCACGTAACCGCACGCGCATAGTCTCCCGTGCGCATGCACTGAACCCTACTTGCGCATGCGCGTAGCGCAAACAAGATAAATAAAAAGGTGCAAAGTCATGATACAAGATTCATACAAAACATTTGGCTGCAATTCTATGGTCTATAAATAATTGATTTATTATACATACATATAATTATACATACAAAAAAACGAATGCAAAAATGAGCCAAAAGCGATTAGTTGCGCGGTGCCGGTGCAAGTGTTTTACAAGTCGATCCGACGACTTCTGATTCGCAGACGGGACAGCAGCTGTCACTGTAGAACACGATGGCTTCGTCGAGACAACTTGTCTTCGGACAGGACACTGTTTCCGTACAGTTCCAGGCACCGTTCTGGGGGAGAGAGGGGAAAGAAACAAAGAGGTTGGAACGGAATAAACACTGAACCATGGGTAGTGGGTTAAATATCTTTTATGGCTAGCAACGCTTGTATTATTGGCACGTGAGACGCGCATGACTTACGCGGCAAGTGCATCGTTCACATCCGTTCTTCAGAGGCAGCTGCACTCCCTCCTTGTCCTCGTCACATGGCGGGACTGCACGGAAATACAAAATGTAGTCGAAAGTGAGTAATTCGACGGCGCAAAAATGGTCTTCGTTTCGAGAAAAAAAACCTCTGAAAAAAGGACACCTCTCTACAAAGGGCACTTGGTCCAGCCCCATACTAATACATAGGGACACCTCTCTATAAAGGACACTTGGTTCTGCCCCATACTAATACTTAGCGTACCTCTGAATAAAGGACACCTCTGAATAAACGACACCTCTTAATAAAAGACACCTCTTAAAAAGGACACCTCTGAATAAAGGACACTTTAATGTCCCCAAGGTGTTCCTTATTCAGAGGTTTTCCACTGTCCACGTAGCTAAACGTAACTCACGGAGACAGTTCGGGCAGCAGCGACCAGGATGAGTGACGCTAAACTTTGGATCACATCTAAGTGGAGGACACCTCTCCGTCATGTTTTCACTCGTCAGTGTCAGATTCTGTAACATTGAAAATGAAACTAACAGTACTGTATGATGGTACGAGAACATAGGCGTATTGCTATGCAGAGAATGATGATGTAATTAAAGATGATGTAATGATGATGTAATCACTTACAGAGTGACATCTCCACTGGGTACAAGGGTCGTTAGGGTCGATCCAAAACGAGTTGGGTCTCATGACGACAGTTTGGCTTCCGTCCGCTAGTGGCAGGTAACAATCTACTGGGAGATAGATAACATGAGGGGGAGGGAGGGGGAGGGAGGAGGGAGGAGGAAGAGGGGAGGGGGGAGGGAGAGGAAGAGGAGGAGAAAGAGGAGGAAGGAAGGGAGAAGCAAGTGGGGGACGAGGTAGGAAAGAGAAGAGAAGAGGAACGGATGGAGAGTGAAAGAAGAGAAGGGAGAAATCCAACATACACAACAGGCAGAACAGAGAGTAATGAAGACAGCCACAATAATTATAGAGAGATGGAAAATGGCATTGCCAAATTACTCGACCCCCTGATATAAATAAACCATTGATCCCTAAAGTTCGTTTGATCCTCCAATTCTACATGATCACACCCCTTACTTCTGGTGCGACAACTGGTGCAGCACTTGCTGATGACCCTATCGGGTACAGCTTCCGTCGCAGCTCCTCGGGTGGCAGAATATCTCCCCGTTCTGTGGTCACGTGACAATCGCATGACATCGTGAGGTGGTCATGTGAGACTCATGTGACTTACCACACAGGTGCAGTTGTTGCATTCGTTGGTTTCATCGATGAAAGATGCACCATTTGCATACTCCACCCCACGCCTTCTGCAGTAACCTGATTGTATCGTGAAAAAGTAGCATATTCAAAACATGTAATTATGAACTTTTCAGTCGACCTGTATAAAGCTGACGTCAACCAATTATTGGACAGAAAAAGTGTACTTGTTAGTGAGGTGTCCTTTTAAATTGCATGCAAGTACGTTCTTGGGAAAGAAAAAGGTGTCCTTAGAGAGGGGTTCCACTTTAAAACTAAGGTAGTACTTAGTATGTCCTGCATTATGCCCATACATTTGAGGTTCACTTTTACATACATACGTACCAGTACAGTCGACCATATCACAGGAACAGAAGTAGGATCCTTCAGTATTGATGCAGTCCTTTGGTCCTCTCCTAACACACTCGTGTATTTCAGACTGACACTCATCAATATCTGGACAAAGAAAGAAGACCCGAGATTAAAAATTGTAAATTTTCTTTTTTAATGAAAGGTTGCCTGAAAAGGTGTAATAAATGATAGAAAATTCAAGAAAAAATGAAAAAAACGGGCTGATTTTTTACCTTCACAGTTTGTGCCGTTGCCCTGGTAACCGGCCTGACAGCGACAAAAATGGCCGCCGATCGTGTTGACGCATTCTGAGAAGCGATGCGTGCACATGTGGTTCTGCGTCAAACATTCGTTGACATCATCAGTGCAGATTTCACCTACGTATGGGGTGGCGAGACAATTATTTTATGCTATGATGTAATTGTGAGGTAATTGTTAGTGACCTGCGTATCCAGGGAGACAGGCACAGGTTTCCGGGTCGACGCATGTACCTCCATTCTGACACGGATCGCTGCAAACAGCTGTAATACATACAGAGTAGCCGGTGAATTGTGGAGAACGGGAGTACAAAAAAAGAGGAAACAGAGAAAAATATAGCATCTGCTCAATAAAAATATTATCCACATGAAAATTTTGTCAATCTGCAAAATGTATGCACCACGGGAATTTCACATACATTATAATGCGGCAAAGTATAAACAACGTACGTTCACATTGAGTGGGGCTAGTTCTGACGTAACCACTGATACACTCGCAGGTATAGCTGCCTTCTGTGTTGATACAGTCGCTGTTGGCCGGACAGGCATTGGGTGTGTCGGTGCATTCGTCAACATCTGTGGAAAAGGAGGGAGGGAGGGAGAGGGAGGAAGTAAGACACGATAATTATAAACAAGCTACAATACTTAAGTTATACAGTTCGTATTGATTTTAAGTTTGGCAGTTAGACCTACACACATCAGAAGCACATCTAGCTAGCCTGGTACACAACAGCAAAAGGCCCTTGGGCTGAATAGAATCAATGTCCTAAAAGCCATTATACACCCTTTCTATTCTTCTTTGCGTAAAATCGTGAGCTAACCGCCAACACCCTTACATCACCAAAATACACAACGGACCTCTGCATAATCCAAGTATGTCCGTTTCGTATCCGGATTCACACACGCACGTGAACCCTCGCGTCTGGTTCTCAACTTCATTCACACAGACTGCATTTTCTCCACATCTGACTTCGTGTCCGTCGGCACATTCGTCGATATCTGACCCGGAAAAGAAGGACGTTATTTTTTACGGGCAAACATTCACACATTGCAGTGTGGTCGCACGGGGCATAATAATTGATTGTAAAAGCTCCAATGTACAGTATTCAATGTATTGTGTATTACAAGCAACATGATCCAGAGATGATCCAGAGAAAGGGAGAAAGAATTTCACTCACCAACACAATTTCCTTCGTCATTCAATTCATACAAATTGTCACACTGACACTCGGCAATCGTGTTGATGGGATTACAGTGCGAGTTTTCTGGACACACGTGGAAGTCACACCCTAGGGAGGGAGAGGGGGGGAGGGGAGGTAGGGAGAGAGAGAGAGAGAGAGCAGCACTTCTTTGCAAATACACCACATTATCATAATCAATAGAGAGTTTTGTGAAAAATGTTTCCTCCGGTCGAAAACTTACGGTCACATATGTCACAGCATATCGAGAGGTTCATTTGCATTTCAGTTAGACCATCCAGCGAACACCCTCCCACGTTACTGACTTGCGCTTCGACATCACTGCAGGAGTGTTGTGGGCCGTGTGCTCCCAGGCGGTCCAAGACTGGTACATACTGCACGCGAAAAAAACCATTATTTTGGTTAAAAAACAGCGATAAACTTGCAAGCAAAAGCTGCTCTACCAACTGATGGATAGGCTTTTAAAATTGCATTGGAACTCTATTCTAAGGACACCTCTGAAATGAGGACACCTTTTCTTTCTTCAAGAACAGTTTAAATGCAATTTAACCCCTGAAATAAGGACACCTCACTAATATGGACACTTTCTTCCGTCCCATTGGTCTGTATTAGTGGAGTTCCACTGTATAATGCTCAGGACACCTCACTAACATGGACACTTTCTTCTTTCCCATTGGTGTCCTGGATGAGGAGTTTCCACTGTAGTAATGCTCAGGACACCTCACTAATATGGACACTTTCCTTCCGTCCCATTGTGTCTGGATTAGAGGAGTTCCACTGTATTATGCTCAGGACACCTCACTAATATGGACACTTTTCTTCCTGTCCCATTGGTGCTGTTTAGTGAGTTCCCTGTATATACGTCATACCTGACAAGTAAAGACACGACACGTGGCCCCCGAACCACCCGTTCCGTCAACGAACAGGAAGATGCTTTCTCCGACAGCCAAGTCCAAGTCTTGCCGTTTACATCGCGACACATTTGATCTGGTGGGGCAGCGAAAGTAGAGACATCTTAAGGTCACAATTACAGTATAAAGGATTATTAGGACTACAGGAGCACAGTAGTAAGTGCCCCAGAGCCGGGACTGGAAGAATTTTTAGGTTTTTGGGGGGGGGAAGATTTTTTAAGGGTAAGGGGCCCACAGTTAGAAGGGGACATTGAAAGCGTCCTTTTCTCATATTATATAAGTACTAATGTGTTAGTATGGGGCAGAAACAAGCGTCCTTAGAGACAGGCGCCGTTTATTCGGAGGGTCCTTTTTTCAGAGGTTCAACTGTTTCTCTTTTCTCTCAGTCTAGACTTACTTCGACAGTTGGCGCCTTCCAGAGCAAACCCGTCGTCACAACACACACACACACCCCGTCTCTACACACTTTATTGTCGTCATCAGAACACGGTGGATCACACGCTGCATACGTAAAGAAGAAATGAGTCACATGACATACTGGGTTGACGGAAATGAGTCACATGACCATCACGTGACACACTGGGTTGACAGAAATGAGTCACATGACCATCACATGACACACTAGGTTAACAGAAATAAATTAAACAGGTATATATAAAGGTCTAAAAGGTGTTGAGTGACATTCTAACAGTACTCAGACACAAAACGCAGAGGGGAAGAAGAGACGGAATAAAGAAAAAGGGAGGAGAAAGAGGAGAAATGAAACAGGATAAACACTCACTAGGTTCAGGCATTGTTGAAGGTGATGGCCTGGTGGAATTGTCAGTACAAATCATGTCAGCATTGCACTGCAATTGTCCATCCTATTCGGGTAAACAACAACAAACAACTAACAACGACCTTCACTTCATTAGGTTCACTTACCCCAAAGCTTA